CCTTCCATTAGAAGCTATTCGATTTATTCCAGCTTTTGCAGGAAACATTCAGCTTAAAGTAAAGTTCAGTAGCGACGCCTTACAATGCACATCTATATCTGTAAATGATATCATTGCTTTCAATCCAACTCTTAAAGTTGCATTTGCTTCAGATTCAAATCCACCGACAAATAAATTTGTTCCATGGAATGAACCATTCACTATGATAACGAAGGCAGTAGAAGCTAATGGAACAGTTACTATTACAACTGTAAACCAGCAACTATTTCGAACAAAGATGGATTTTAATGAATGTTTCATTCATCCAAAGTCATTCTCTTTAGACCCTAACATTTATACAGAACTTGTAGAACATTATACAAACGAGGCTTTATGTTTTCCTGTTAAAGTTATGGATTGGATTCCTATGGACGGTTCATTCTCAAAAAATACAGATAGTTCAAGTGCAACATTTACAGCAGCTTATACGCCTATTAATGTTAAAAGTATTTGGGCACTATTTAGAAAGAAAGACAACTATTATGTTAATTTTGAGAACCCTAAGTTTAAATATCTTCAGCTTTCCATGGGAGCTTATGGAAATATGCCTGCAGAACCTGAAAAATCATATGGACCTGTATTTTATGAAATGGTTGCGAACGCTTGCAATACAAACAATGATATGATAGGATTTAATGAAGATGTTATGAGGTCATTGGTGGATGATGGTAGTGTGGAACATAAATGGGATAGCTATGACAACACACATTTCTTATGTGGTTTTCCAACAGAAGTGGACTTTTGCTTCCAACAAGGTCAAACATCTACTGCTCCAATAACATACAAATTGTCTGTTAAAGGACCTATTGAACTAGCAACTGAAAACGTACCAAAGCCACTTATTGGATTTATGAGGGATTGTTGCTTTGCAATACAAGTAAGACAGTCAGGCATACCAATAATAAGACTTGACGACTATAACTTAGCAACTGACGACAGTGAGGAATAAAGGATGAACGTTTATTTTTAAAGCTTATAAATGAGTTCTTCATCAAGCTCTCGTGAACCTTCACCATCTATGAAACAAACTTTACCAAACGATTATGGAGCACCTATTGAATATTTCTTACGAGCTGCACAATGGCAAAGAGCAGTCTCACCAAGGTTAGGTGTTCCACCAGCTCCTGTCAAAAATAGCATTTGGTCAAGTCCTTATATAAGATATGGTCTCCCACTAGGTTTGCTAGCTACAGCAGGAGCAGTAATGATGTTGAAAAGAAACAAAGCAAATGTTGTAAATAATACTGAAGTAGCTGAAGTTAAACAAACTCCGACACCATCGCCAAAACCAACGCCTTCACAAACAACACCTTCAATGACTCCTGAACCTATGAAAGTACAAACTCCTGTTCAAAAGTCAACTCCAAAACCGACTCCAACATTTAAACCAGAACCTACTCCTCAAATAAATCGTAAAACTCCTGCGTTTCCTTACTGAAAAAATAATGTTAGTTTTATTTTATTTGAACATTTTATTTAGAGTAAAATGACGACTAAAGTCACTGAAGCAATGAAACAAAAATTTTTGGTAGAATACATTAAATCAGGAACTATTCCAGAAGGTTTTTACATTCATACTATGAAGGATGGTAGAGTTCAGTTTAGAAAGATAAAGCAACCATTAGATAGAGAAGGTATATTAAGGAAGATTAAACTTCATGAGGACAACATTGCTGAACTTAGAAGAAGTTAGAAGAGTTGGAGAAAGGAAGAGAGTTATAAAGCAATGAATTCATGAGGTGAAAAAAGAGGTGAAAAAAGAGGTGAGATGTCACCACTTCACCTAAATTTATTTTTGCGCTATGTTTTCATACGTGTGAGGGTGGTGATATCATTAATTTTTAAGTTTATTTTTAAGTTTATTTTTAAGTTTACTGAAAATTTTTATTTGGATGTAAATGACAGAACAAAAGCAACTCATTCGAATTCCACAGTATAACAAACATACATTTAAACATTTATTCTTCCTTCCTGAGCATAACATGTTCTTTCAAATACATCCGAGACCAGTTGACTTTTCATTGACTGTTTATAAAGATAGAAATAGTTATATCATTAAACCATACGATGACGAAGGTAAGTTATGTAAATTGTACGTTAAGAAGTTAGAGAAAGTTTATGGCTTCAAGTATGACTACAATAGGGTTAACACTGATGATGAAGATATTGAGGAAAATTTATGAGAACATTAGTGAAGTTGTTAGTGAGAACGATAGTGAGAACGTTTATTTTTACAGTAGTGAAGTCGTTTGTGAAAACATTAGTGAGGTGAAGTGGTTGGCGGTTTTGTAAATATTTAAGGTTAAGTTAGTGTTGTCGTTTGTGTTGTAAAAATATACGTTAACGGTTTTGTAAATATTTAAGGTTAAGTTAGTGTTGTCGTTTGTGTTGTAAAAATATACGTTAACGGTTTTGTAAATATTTAAGGTTAAGTTGGTGTACGGAGGTGCGCAGTGCCTCAGTACCCAACTTAACCATACTAACTTTAATAGTTCAACCAGATTAAAAAAGTCAATTACATTCTTCTTATATAATTGAATAGATAATTCCAAAGTATTAAGTTGCTCAAACATATTACTAGAAGCAAATGTTTGAATTTCTTGAGCATTCATTGGACAATGATTAATTTTTTCTGCGATTCTTATAGGTATTTTCACTTTACAATTCTTACTTCTGTTTGACTCTCCATAAATTTGACTGATTTCGAAACTCATTCCTCTGCGAAAAATGTCACGTTTTAATTTTTTTCAAATGGAAATAAATCAGAAACTCTTTTTGTCTTTGACATCTCTAGGTTACACTGAAACTCAAGTAAGAAATGCTTTAGAGATCTCTAATAACAATATTACAGAAGCACGACAGCATCTCTTTACAAATGTTTTCTTAAATAATCAAGACAAAAACACTCTTCAGTATCTCAATGAAATTGAAAAAGATATAATAAATGATGAGGAACCAAATAATGAAATTCCCGATTTTATCGATTCCAAAGAGCTAATCAAATTTGTCGCTGGATTTGCATTTTGCAGATTAAAATTTTTACGTCAATCCATTAAGGTTATAACACACTTAATTCAGAAACAAGAATTATTTTTTAGAATTCAACGATAGTGATGATTTTACTAAAGCATTTGTTCAGTCTGTTAATCAATATTTACATAATGATACAACTAATATATACTCACCATATTTCTCATCTTATCCACCACTGGATCACTCTTTTTATTGATAATTTAATCAACGATTCATTAGATGTACCAAAATATAAGGGATATAATATCACTTTTATCGGAGAAGAAAAAAAACATTCAATTAAAATAAACGAAATTGTAATTCTATTTGAAGCTAAAAATACTATTGCAAAACTCAGGAATTTAACTAATTGTCAGAGGGCGATGATTTCAATCAGTCCAGATCAAGCTATTCGAGAAAAAGTGAATAAAATATTAAAGCTTACACCTGATTTACTTGGCAATTATTTATATCTCTATTGCAATGTATGTGAAGAAGTGCTTTATTATACACCACAGAAAATTATTCCACTTTTTGTAAAACTTTATAGAATAACATCTATTTATCAGCCACATTCATTCTATTTATCATTTATTATGAATTATTCTGAAACCTTACTATACGAATCAATCATTCACCAAAATGTCACTTTTTACAGAATTCTTGCATCACCAAAAAATGTTGAAAAAGCTTTAAAAAAATACGACGGTTTAGCAAATATTATGAAAGAATGCAAATGGATAAAAAGCCATGACATCCCCGAAAAGTATCAGAGTTCCGAATTTCATGATGTTATGTTAGATAAACATATAATGTTTATATCGAATTTTCCAAAAATACAATAAATTACGATAGAAAAAAATCATCTCAATTTATATTGGCAATGAAATGCATTCTCAATTTACTTTGCAGCAAATTCTTGATTTTGTAAAACATATGCCATCATTTTTAAAGTTGAAACAAAAACATACAGAAAGTGGTATTCAAATTTTGATCTTAAATGAGGAAGATAAAATATTTGAATTGGTCAGTGAGGATTGCTATTTATCATTTTCAATTTATATTTGCTCAGAATGTGCATGTGTTAGATCTTATTTTAATATTGAAATGAAAAAGCATGTTTTAACTACAAACTCATCTCAAGACAATATTGAATTTGTAAATAAAATTCTAGGAAAAGAATTCTATTCAAGCTTCAAAAACAATGCACTCGATAAGACATTATATTATGAATATATAAATGATGTTAATCCTCACAGAAATTCAAATGATATTGCATATCTCTTTGATCTAATCCCTGGATTTGTCAAATATCATTCAATTAGTGATGAAATGCCAATCAAGTTTAATAATAGTAATATTCAATGGCTCTTATATCTCCATCCAGAAGTGAAACTTTTCATAGAAAATGCCCAAGCTATCGAACTCGACGCGACATTTCCACTTGATGATTATATAGCTATATACCCCCATATTATATATGGTAACATGGGTTTCCCGTTGGGTGTATTTATAGGACCCTCGGAGTCGGCAAAATCTTATCAATTGATTTATGATACACTTAAGACAATTGTTGATGAAAGTATTATCAAAAAAATCCCATTCATAAACGATTTTGGAAAAGGTTTGGAATCGTTTACATCATTCAACCATTTGATTGTGTATTATTGCTTGAGACATTATTTAAATCGATTGGGGCAGGCACCTGGATTTGTGCAATTGCGAGTACAATTGTTTTTGCGTGGAATATAAAAGAATATGATTATAAGTATGAATTATTTCTTCCAATTGTTGAGATTTACAAAAACTCAGGTGCCATCAATAGTGCGCAGTATGAAGCGTTTCTCGAATTAAAAACTCAGAAGAAAAATCTTGCACTCTGTTTGCGAAAACCAAGGATTTCGTGCTCAAACCATGTGGAAAGTTTTCATTCCCATAACAATGCAGTTATGTCAAGAGTAAAGTCATATGCAGGTAAAATGAATGAAACATTAAATTATATAATTGCAAGAGCAAATCAACTTCGAAAACCAGAGAATGAATGCGCATTAAAACTCTTTCGAAAAAACAAGAAGAAAAATGGGTCTATGAAAGAGGAGAATCGTTGTAAAACAATGATATGCCAAAAGTGCCAAGACAAAATGAAGATTTGGGAAGAGAAATATTTGACAACAATCCCTTGCCAGCACTGTGCCCATTTATATACAACGATAAGTCCACCTCCAGCCCTTAAATTCCACAAAATCAAAAAAGGAGGAAAATCTGAAATTGTGATTTCAGAAGTTGATAATCCAAAAGTGGCCGACCAGGCAAAAGAAAAGAATCCTGCCCCACTTCCAAAAGTGGATGATATAATAATTCATGATTGCCATATTCAAGATCTCGCTTCACTTGTTCAGGTTAAGTTCAATCTACGCGACATATTTAGAGCGACGTATGTGATTTACACAATAATACATAATATTCCGAATTTCTTCGAAAGTCGAATTGCGTATTCTGACTTTATATTAGAATCAATTCAAAAAATTGATATATATATCAAAGAACATGAAAATTTCCTTGCAACTCTAGAATGATATTTTAATAAAATGATTTGTATATCTAATTTTTTTATCAGATCGAAAGACATTTTTAATATGATTTAAGGGTCCACTGTAAGGCCAAATAAGACCTATCGTCGTCCCAAAAATATTGCTCGAGATGGTGTTTTACTAAGGCTCAAAACTTAAAAAAACTCAAAAAAATTAACTTTACTCTTTTGAGATCCTTATCAGATGTGCAACAATTTGATGCAGTATTGCAGTTCGAATCTGATTTTTTAATGTAGATATACTCTAACATTCTTGAAGAAATGCAAAATAATATTAATTAAGCTTTTCATTTCTGTATCATACACGAAACAAAATCATTCATTATACTAAAATTTATCAAAGTTTGAATAATGAAAAAAAAAAATATATCTAAATTTTTACATTGAGTCTGCTATTGATATGGTTAATATTTGATTTCAAATAACACAAGTGAAGATAAGAAGGAAGTTTACCAATGAATTACTATATTAATAATGAATAATTTTTTTTAATAAAATTGAAGAAATAGAAAGAAATAGAAAAAAATAAAAGAAATATTAATATTGAATAATATTGTTAAGTATATTTGGTTGTATGAGTGAATTATAGTACAAATGTAAGTGAATGGTATATTGTTAGGCATAAATAAAATGAATGAATAAATTAGAATAAGTAGTTTGAAATTGGATGTGTATTTGATGTTTTGTATAATAGTGAAAAAGGGTGATAGATAATTTCTAATGAAATGAGAAAATGTGTGGTGAAAAGAATAAAATTGGAGAACTATGACCGACAAGAGTGTGTTATGCACTCTTACCGCTCTGCATATATCATTCCGGGAGATATTGCCTGTGCATGTCTCCCAGAATGATAGAAAGTTCCGCATTCATAACTTGAATGCGGAACTTTGACCGACAAGAGTGTGTTATGCACTCTTACCGCTCTGCATATATCATTCCGGGAGACATTGCCTGTGCATGTCTCCCAGAATGATAGAAAGTTCCGCATTCATAACTTGAATGCGGAACTTTGACCGACAAGAGTGTGTTATGCACTCTTACTGCTCTGCATATATCATTCCGGGAGACATTGCCTGTGCATGTCTCCCAGAATGATAGAAAGTTCCGCATTCATAACTTGAATGCGGAACTTTGACCGACAAGAGTGTGTTATGCACTCTTACCGCTCTGCATATATCATTCCGGGAGACATTGCCTGTGCATGTCTCCCAGAATGATAGAAAGTTCCGCATTCATAACTTGAATGCGGAACTTTGACCGACAAGAGTGTGTTATGCACGCTCATTTGTCATATACTATGCTTTATAGAAAACAACTTTGCATTCAATCGTTAAAATATAATTTTCCCTAATTAATATTTAAATTTTATTTTTTGTGCTTTATATAACTTATGGCGTGTACCAAACTCTTTTACAGACTCTCCTGAGCTATCCTCACATATAAACATATGATAATAACGCATACATACTCACTTCATATTCTGATCTCATGACATATTACCGCAAAAACTATAATTATACAACACACCTCATAAAGTCTCATTTTACACGTATCTACACGTTCAAAACCTATTTTTCCCGCGTAATCTGATTCTTCAGGTTCCGCTGATTCGATTTCTGCTGTCAGATCGTGAAAATATGCATTACATAACAAGTTAAACGCAAATTACTTAACAACATCATTTTTGAAAAATCCACATTTTTCAAAAAATGAATGAATTCAAAAGTTTAGATTATATCAAGTCATAACCCAATATTAATTTTGTATTTTAGTTTTTGAGATATTCATTTTATTATACGCATTATTCAGAAAATTAAATATATTTGTGAGAGAAAACGGAAGATATAATAAATATCTCCTTATCTTGGAATTGGCAATTTGAAGAAAAATAGGTTTTGAACGTGTAGATACGTGTAAAATGAGACTTTATGAGGTGTGTTGTATAATTATAGTTTTTGCGGTAATATGTCATGAGATCAGAATATGAAGTGAGTATGTATGCGTTATTATCATATGTTTATATGTGAGGATAGCTCAGGAGAGTCTGTAAAAGAGTTTGGTACACGCCATAAGTTATATAAAGCAGAAAAAATTTTTTTAATATTGAGGTGATTTGATCATATTGATAGTGTTGTATTATAGAGTGTAATTGGGATGGAATTCTTTTTTATTTGTAATACATCTCGACAGAGGCAACATTCGATATGAAAGTTTCCTCTGTCGAGAAACTTCCTCACACCTCAAGAGATGCGAAGAACTTTTGACAGGCAAAGTGCAATATTGATAGGTGATTGCACTTTGCCTGTCACATACATCTCGACAGAGGCAACATTCGATATGAAAGTTTCCTCTGTCGAGAAACTTCCTCACACCTCAAGAGATGCGAAGAACTTTTGACAGGCAAAGTGCAATATTGATAGGTGATTGCACTTTGCCTGTCACATACATCTCGACAGAGGCAACATTCGATATGAAAGTTTCCTCTGTCGAGAAACTTCCTCACACCTCAAGAGATGCGAAGAACTTTTGACAGGCAAAGTGCAATATTGATAGGTGATTGCACTTTGCCTGTCACATACATCTCGACAGAGGCAACATTCGATATGAAAGTTTCCTCTGTCGAGAAACTTCCTCACACCTCAAGAGATGCGAAGAACTTTTGACAGGCAAAGTGCAATATTGATAGGTGATTGCACTTTGCCTCTCCAAACTCTCAAATATGCTTCTCACCATACATCAAACGGGCAAATTTCTCCTTAAATTTCTCTTTATTTGAAAGGTTTTCAACAAAGCTATACCTTAAAAATCTGTGCTTGTTATATCTGATCATTTGTGTGTTAGGGGAGGTAAATTTATTCCACTAGAGCAAATTTTTTCCGAGGTTTCTCATCGAATGAGAAACCTCGGAACAACTCTTCAATAGTGTAATGAATTTGTGGTATTTGTCCTGCAAACAGCGAGAGAACTTGTCTGTAATTCGTTTATGATGAAGTTATCTGGATGTCTCTCAGATGAGGAAGGAAGTCCAGAAAACTTCACCATAAGTTAATACTTGTGTATTTCTATGACTCTCTTCACGTCAGAGAATGTAAATTTACTCGAATAGGGCAAAGTTCTGCTCAAGTTTCTCATTTGATGAGAAACCTCGGAAGAACTTTGCCCTAAGGTAATGTATATGTGATTGTTGGCCCGCAGAGAAACAAGGAATCTGTTTGTATTTCGTTTATGGTGAAGTTCTCGGATGTTCTCTCAAATTATATGGAAAATCAAGATAACTTCACCATAATTTGTTGTAGTTGTGATTCTCTGGCTCTTTGCCGGCCAGAAAACTAGAAAATAGTTTATAGTGGGAGTATGCTCGATGAATACCTACTCACTAAAAATATACGTTATTTTTTGTTTTCCTATGGGAAAATAGTTTTGATTTTTATACTATCGTATGCTTTGTTATTGCATGAATTGTCTATTTTCTTAATAAAAACTCATTTTTCCGTGTGATTCTGAATCAATGCATTCCAAAAAAGCGTTTTCCGCCTTTGAAACGTGAAAACACACATTGCATGAAGAATCAGAGAAGATTTTCTATCTTTCAATTTTTTAGACTTATTGAAATTTGATAATAACTCCAAATTAAGCTGATAAACTCATAGAGCACATAAAATAACACATGCCTATCATATTTGAATTTTCTAAAAATCTCCAAAAAAATCGCGTTTTAAAAATTTCGTAGTTAAAAAGTAAATTTTTCACGATAAAAAAACTATAATTGGTTTTTTTTGGAATTCTTCGAGTTAGAAAATCTTCTCTGATTCTTCATGCAATGTGTGTTTTCACGTTTCAAAGGCGGAAAACGCTTTTTTGGAATGCATTGATTCAGAATCACACGGAAAAATGAGTTTTTATTAAGAAAATAGACAATTCATGCAATAACAAAGCATACGATAGTATAAAAATCAAAACTATTTTCCCATAGGAAAACAAAAAATAACGTATATTTTTAGTGAGTAGGTATTCATCGAGCATACTCCCACTATAAACTATTTTCTAGTTTTCTGGCCGGCAAAGAGCCAGAGAATCACAACTACAACAAATTATGGTGAAGTTATCTTGATTTTCCATATAATTTGAGAGAACATCCGAGAACTTCACCATAAACGAAATACAAACAGATTCCTTGTTTCTCTGCGGGCCAACAATCACATATACATTACCTTAGGGCAAAGTTCTTCCGAGGTTTCTCATCAAATGAGAAACTTGAGCAGAACTTTGCCCTATTCGAGTAAATTTACATTCTCTGACGTGAAGAGAGTCATAGAAATACACAAGTATTAACTTATGGTGAAGTTTTCTGGACTTCCTTCCTCATCTGAGAGACATCCAGATAACTTCATCATAAACGAATTACAGACAAGTTCTCTCGCTGTTTGCAGGACAAATACCACAAATTCATTACACTATTGAAGAGTTGTTCCGAGGTTTCTCATTCGATGAGAAACCTCGGAAAAAATTTGCTCTAGTGGAATAAATTTACCTCCCCTAACACACAAATGATCAGATATAACAAGCACAGATTTTTAAGGTATAGCTTTGTTGAAAACCTTTCAACGAATGAGAAAGTTAGGAAAAACTCTACCTTATAAGATCAACTATAGAATTCATAGCTCTTTGAATACTAGGAAACATTAATGCAGTAGTTTAAGGCAAAGTTTTTCCGAGATCTACGAAGGA